GGGAGGATGTGGTGATCACCTGGTGGGACTCTATCTCCATGCAAACTTGCCCAATACGGATGTAAAACGTGTCATTCTTCCCACACACAAAAGATAAAAGACTGATTAGAGGCACCAAAATTTAGATTTGGCTGGTTCAAACACACAGTGACTCAGCCGGAACGTGTTTTCCCTAAATCCCTTTCAATTCTCCCCTCCTGCTCCTAACACTGAAACAAACCATAAAGAAAAATGGCCACCAAAGTCATGAAGTGCCCGATTTCAACGTGTTGCAGAGGTTTGGTGTGGGACTTTGCTGTGGGGCATTCCTTTTTTTTCAGGGCTCTGACACCAAAGATGGGGAACACTTGGTGGGGAAAAGGGGGGTTTGGGGTGCGAGTCTTGGTGTTGCCCTTGCATGACTTAAAGCTGTGGACACAGCAGGTGGAAGCTGGGAGGGGGGGGAATTTCCTTCCCCTGCTCATTTCCACGCTCCCTGCTCTGCAGGCACCGGCTGTGGGATCCAGGGATGCTGCCTGCTTCCTGTGCGTGTTGGCTGTGTATCCCTCAACAGCATTGGGTGCTGGTGCAAAGTCCAGTCAAACATGCAAAAAAAGGCTGCTTTATTTATATATATATGTATTTAAATTGTGAGTGTAATTAAGCAGTGGCACAATTAGGCGAGTGCTGTGGCAGAGCTGTGAGCACAAGGATAGCTGCTCTACCAAGGAGCACTTGTGTGCACTTGCTTTGGTTCAACAGGAATTCATTCAGGGAGCCTGAGGGTCTGGGAAAACAATTCCTTGCTCCTCCCGGTACCTTTTGCAAAGTCACTGTGTGAAAAGCAAGCCCCAGATCCTCCTCTTTGGGTTGCCACCGGGTTTTCCAGTCCCTCTGCGTGTCAGCCTCGGAGCAGTGATGGGCACAGGAGGTGCTGGTGCATCCTTGGATGGTGGGGAGCCAGGAGAAATAGGGGTCTGTGTCACCCCCCACCTCTGGTCCTGTGGGCAGTGACCAGCTCTTTCTTGGTGGCTTCTACTTTAAAAAAAAAACAATTAAAAAAAAATTGGTCTATTTTACAGTCTATATTAATGCCACTGGATATTACATCCTGCTGACAGCTTCCACGCTGCACTTCTGGTCCCGGTTCTTCTTGTGCCTCTCACAGGGGAGATTTATCCAAAGGGATCTGATACCCACGTGGGTGGATTTTAGTCCTCTACTGTGCATGCTTGCCTTTGCACACCTGAGGAGCCCCACTGCTTTGCAAAGATCCTCTATAATGAGTATTATCCATATCTGCAGCATGCTTGTAACAGCTACTAATCATTTTATTACTCTTTATAATCTATTTAAAGCACAATTAGAAAAAAATCTATACAAAGTTACAGCTGAGAGCACATTTTAGTTACGTTATAAATCCCTGAAAAACAACCATCTATCATGAAAACAGACGCTCCTTCTCTCGGCTGACAGAAATGGATGCTGCTGTGCTCTGCCGAGGGATGCTGAGGTGAGGGAGGGCTGGACGGCAAACCTCGATGGGCCCCTCTCAGCCCTTCACAGCACGACTCCTTCAGGATCCAGCAGCAGGTAATCGTGCAAGGGCTTGGGCACAGGCAGCAAAGGGATAAGGCGATGGCATTCGCCGCCAAACTTATTCCGAATGGCTGAGCGGCATAAGTGTTGCAGGGACCGGACTGTGCCCGCCAGACGGAAAAAGGACTCATAGAATAGCTCGTGTTGCTGAAAAGAGAGAAAGAGGAGAGAAAAAGACATGAGCATCAGTTGGTTTTATTTTTGTCCCGATTAAGCCAAACAACCCAGAGATACTTTTGTGATGAAGCGCTAAGGGGAGGAGGTAGGCAACCCATCGGTGATGTTTGTCCGTGGGTTAGGGGCTCTGTGTGCTGATGGTGCTCCTGCAAGCAAAGGCTGGGTGAGGGCGTCTCCTGTGGAAGCACAGGTAAAGAAACTCAGCCCCACCACAGATGCTGGCTGGGGAGGATGCTTTCATCCCCAGCACCAGCAGCATCCTGATAATTCAAGAGCAGGTTGGCTGTAACTGTTGCACTGCCAGGGACAAGCTTTTTAAAACCAAAATGAGGGGTGTGGGCTCCTGCCAGGCAGCAGTGCAGCTCCAGTGCCACTTCCAGATGCTGGGGTTGCATTTAATGACAGGCTGGGGGCAGGAATGGGGGGTTTGGTGCTGATGGAGCTGAAGGGATGCAAAGCTGCTGAGATGAATCAGGTGTGAAATGGTGCTCCCAGGACCACTCCTTTATTTTTACTGTTTTTTTTCTTCCCCATCCAAGTTCAGTTTGGATGGGAAAAAAGCAACCTTTTGGTGGGTCCCTTCCAACCTTGTATCCTATGATTCTATGAAAATCCCCTCCTTGGGGCTCAGCTGTCCTTGCCTAACCACCAGCACTGTCTCACCTGAAACACCTCCTCTGGCACGGCCTCCACCCACTTCTCAGAGACAGGGATTTGCGAGTAGGAATTGAAGAGGACTTCAATGATCTCTGGCACAGCCGCACAGGACTTCAGCACCTAGTTGTAGGCAATGGGAGTGTGGAATTCAGACAAAGATACTTGTCCCAGAGGGTCAGAGCATCCATGTGCTGCAGCTGGGGCTTGTCCCATCCCACTGTGGTCCAGGCTGGGATGGTCCTGCTTGGGAATGAGGCAGGCATAGGGTATATGCCCTGGCATGCTTTGGAGATGTTTCTCCATCTATGAAGCAGTGGGAAGACCCACCTTGCTGTGGCACTTCTTCCTCTGGATGCGGCCCTTGTTTCTTTTTTATGTTTTTGGCTTGTGCGTGATACGCCAGGATAATATTTTCTTTATTGTTTGATGTAAAATCAATGGAACGCAGAGCCATAAGAAGGCTGCACTGCTGGTTGATGTACCAAGACTGTCTCACCTGTCTCTGACATCCCCAGGCAGGAAAATAATCCTCAGTCCTGGTCCCCCATGCCGTGCTGGCTCCATCCTGTCCTCTGCTCTTCCTGCTTTTCCCCTCTGCCACATCGTGCCAGTGTTTTCATTTCCAGCATTCCCAGTAGCATTGCCAGCCCTGATGCCATGGTCCTCGCTCCCTGCTGAGACCAGGAGCCTTTCCCAAACCCTCCCAACCGCCTGGCTTTTTATTTCCCCAATTGCAAAATCCTGGATGTGAGGGGGCTCTTTTGGGATCAGTACCTTGATGAAGGCAGGGGGCCATATCTTCTGGGAGCCATGGTTGAGCAGCAGCTGGACAGTGAGGTGGGGCCGCAGCTCCCTCTTGAAGACAGCGCTCTGCAGCGCGCAGCCCAGCGGGGAGATGCCGTTGTAGTCAATGGCGTTGACGTCTGCCCCGCGTGACAGAAGGAAGCGCGCCAGGTCAACGTTGGCAGCCCCGCATGCTTTGTGCAAGGGGCTCCTCCTCATTTCATCCCGGGCGTCAATGTTGGCGCCATGGGCAGTCAGCAGTCGGCCAAGTTGCAGAGAGCCCTCGCCAGCACCCGGTGCCTGACCACAGAGAACACTGAGGGCTGTCTCCTCCCATGCGCTGCGCACGTCAACGTGTGCCCCGTGCCGCAGGTAGAGGTGGGCATGGTCACAGAGGCAGTGCCTGGCTGCCATGTGCAGCGCGGTCTCCCCCCCGTCCTCACTGGGCAGGTTGACGGTGGCCCCACTTCTCAGCAGGAGCTTGGCACATCTGCAAAGAGATGGGGAGAGTGGATTTTGGGGAGCATGGGCTAGAGTGGGAGTCACAGGGGATGATGGGGTGGGAGGCAGTGTGAGATGAGGATAGGGATCAGGCTGAAGCTGGGATCCCGTGGGACATGTGGCACTCAAAGGTTCTAGGAGGGAGCAGCAGAGGCTGGGAAGGGTGACTCTGTGCCCTGATGCCCACCATGGTGGTGCTGGTGCTGGTTGTTTGGGCATTGTCTCCCTCTTGCCCTTGACTAGTATCATTCATGAATGGTCATCCCTCACCATTCTTGATCATCCTTGACGCACCAGGATCCCACCATCCTAGACCCACCAGGGAACAGTGATCCTTGCCCCGGCTGTGCCAGTGGTTGGGCAGCTTTGGGAGCTGTACCCACAGGTAGCCATGCCAACTGTGTCTGTCCTGGCTGGTGATATGTGTGGGATTCATCTAGCCATGGTGAGGACACATAGGGTGATGGGCCCCTTCATGCTATTGATCTATCAGCTACAGCTTCATCTCCTGGCACAGGCACAGCCCTGGAGTGAGATGGAGACAATCTATACAATCCCACCCCTTGGCTGACATCCACAGATCTTCTCAGGTAAAAACATCCTAAACCACTGCCTCCACCTTAATCTGTGCTGAGACCAAACTAACGTAGAGGGGAAACACTTGGTAATGCCTCTGTACAGCAGAAGACCTCAGAGTAGGTTTATTTGGGTATAAAAATGGATTCTCCCCCTCCTGTTAAGCCTACATGGGACTCCCACCCCAGAGAGGACTGAAGAGTCGTGTTTTCTGCCTATCCTGAGAAGAAACACCTTTGCAGATGGTTTAAGCCTGCCAAAATGTGTTTTGCTGGCTGTTTTCTAACCCAGGTCTTGTGACAATGAAGTGGCAGCACCTGCAGTTTCCAGGAGGAATGAACAGCCCTTCCCACTGCTCTCACCTCTCCTTCCCTCTAGTATCCCCATGCATTGTTGCAAAGAGTGACCGTGGCTGCTGCAAAGCTGGGACACCAGCTCCTATCAGAGCTTTCCACCTGCATCCTTCTGACAACAGATAGGGGTTAAAGATGCTGGGTTTGCTCCAACATTATTTTTTTTTCTTTTGGTGTGCATGTGAGTAAATGGATGTGATCAGCCAGTCTAAATGAATCAAAGTGACTGCTCCATCTCCTGCTGGGAGCTGCCGGGGCCAGCGTGGCTCAACGTCACCAACAGGGCAGAGCTGTCTGCCGCCGGGTTAGCATGCAGGGCTGAGCTCACCGTTGCAGCACAGAGGAGTTGTTGTTGTTTTGGAGAGATTCCAGACCCACATGTCATCCAAGCGAGACCTTTAAAACACGGTCAATTCACGTTTCCCAAAAAATGCTGCTGGGGAGATGGGAAGAGCAGTCCATCAGGAAGCCTCAGCAGTGGCTAGCTGGAGTCTAGGGTGGTGTATCCACCTTTAACCTCCTCCTGCCTGCTTTATTTTCCTCTAATACGCTTTTCTTTTAGCTCAGATATCACCCAGAGCCTGATCTGGGGTTCTGGGCTGATACAGAAACAAAATGAGGGGGAGTTATGGAGGAGCAGAGCCCTAGTCTCATCCCTCCCACAGGAGGGATGGGGAGGAAGAGGAGCCCCAGGGAGCAAGGATGGTGCCAGAGCGTTGCTCATTTTGCCTGGCCCAGATAGCTGTTAATATTTGTGGGGGAAAATAATAGTAATAGTAATAGTAATAGTAATAGTAATAGTAATAGTAATAGTAATAGTAATAGTAATAGTAATAGTAATAGTAATAGTAATGCTACTTGAATCCTTCTGGACCTGCAGCATTTCCTCCCCCAAGGTTTGATAGGAACTGGTGAGATGTTCGCTGTCCTTGGCAGTGCAGGATCTGCACATAACTCCTTGGGCTGCTTTTCGTGTGTGCATCAAGCCTGAGTTTACCAGGAAAAAACCCTGCAGGACCTGTGAGGACAGGCTGTGTCAGCAGCTTTTGCAGGTGTAATGCTCTCAGATGCTGCCAGCCTGCACCAGATCTCACCGGAGGTAGCTGCAGTAGATGCTTTCTGCTGGGGATACAGCTAGGAGTGAGTGGAATGAGTGTGGGGTTGTGCCAGCCCCAGAGTCCTAAGATTTTTACTTGACAAATCTTCTTTTACTCTAAAATGTGCTGAATCTCTTTCTCAAGCACCGGATTCTCTCACTGAGGTATTTTTGGCATGTGCTCTCTGCTGCTGTTTGGTAAATCTTCATTGGAAGAGGTCTGTGGCTAAAGCAAACCACACTGTGACTTGATCATGTTTACTGGTCTTGTCCATCCTCGACAGCAGGGATTTGTAGCCCTAATTATAACGAGTCTCTTGGGACCTCTCTGGGTTAGCTTCATCCTAACATCACATTAGCTCTGGCACCCTAAAATAACATTCTGGGCAAACCAAGGGATGGTTCTGCAGGAAAAAATGGAAAGAAAAAACAAAAAAATAAGTATTTCTGACTTGGGTGGAAAACAGTAGCCTAGTCCAGAATAAAAATCCCTTTTTGTTCTTTTGTTTTGTTTGTTGGTTTGGTTGATTTGTGGTTTGTTTGTTTTTTTTTTTTAAATAAGGTCTCTGTGCCTAGAGACCCCAAACACAAGCACCACACCAGCTTTGGCAAGTGCTGTGTGTCATCAAAAGAGCTCGGGCTGGAGGTTCACATCTGCATAGGCAGGACAGAGGGAACATTCCCCTGCCCTTTATTCCCGGGTAAAGGGTGGTACCTCATGGGCTACTTGGCAAAGCCAAGAGCTGTGTCCAGCCCCACCAGCGCAGCATCCTTGCTCTGCTATGAGGTTTTCCCTTCCTGAGAGTGGGATGGGAGTTCAATTACAGGGAATTCAATTCCTCTTGGCCTCCTGCTAGATACCCCAAATATTCTTCTAGGGATACCACAGTGGAAATGCCACCCTTTCTAGATACTATTTTGCTGAAGGGTGATTCTTACTTGTCATCAAGTTCAATGGTTTCAATCAAAGCTAACTTGTTATTCAGTTTATATTGAATTTTCCCCCTGGATACTCCTCTCTCAGCAAAGAGGGAATGTTAGTGAGGGGCTATAAATAAGGGGTGATCTCCTCCAGTTAATGGAAATGGTGAGCCCCTGTGAAGAGCATGTGGCTCCTGTTTGGATGTATAGGGCACCAGCAGGTGTCAGCTAGATGCCATTCACGTTTGCTGGCTATATGTTCTTATTTTAGCCTCTAATCTCGGCCCATGAACTCATACACTTTGCCAGCATTTCTAGCTTCCTGTGTGTTTGTTTGTTTTTAAATTATTTCCCTGTTGTTCAGCATCAGGTTAGACTAAAACCCCATTAAATGAGAGTCAGTGATCACTTGCTGCTTTTTGAGGGCTCCTCTCCAATTTTCTGGGAATAGTGCAAGAAGCCATGGGTTTAGTTCAGCAGAAATTCAAACACAGAGTGGCAAAGTAAACCAGTTTGTTTTCTATCCACCCTGGTACCATTGACCTGGCTGAGCAACTCGCCAACAGCAGCAATACCCTGAAAAAGCCACCCTCACACACAGCCATGCCTAATTTTGGTTAGTTTATTTTCACATCCAGATACTTCCTAACTCCTCTGTGAGTGATGAGTAACACACCTGAATATCTCCTTGCATGGGAAAGCTGCTTGTTAGGTCAATATCCCACTAATCTGTGGTAACTGGCATTATTTCTATTGGTTTGCCTTGTGCTGGGGTCCTGGCTCAAATAAATGAGATAAAATGATTTGGGGTTTATTTTCCTTCTTCAGCCATCAATAGAGTTGGGGCAGATGTCGGTGTAACGTCAGTGCCCATTGCCCTCCCCTGCCCTCTCGCTGTCAGGATTGCTCCCGCTGGCCATGAATCTCAGCATCTCAGCTGGATGCTGCTTAGTTTGAGATGAAAAATGCCCAGGCTGGGAAAGCAGGATTTAACTTGAGATGGGATGTGATGAATAACCAGCAGGAGGAGCAGAAGGTTGGGGCAGCGGAGGCTGGAGGAAAATTCCAGTCCCAAAAAACCTACTCAGGCCCTCAGTTTTCTTAAGAAAAAACTCCTGTTTGCTTGGTTTGGTTTTCTTTCCCCTCTCCCTGGGGCCAGAGTGAGGCTTTCCTATTTCTGATTGTTTCTCTTGGCATCCAAGTGACCATATCCTGATCTGTCTGTGATTTATTGCAGGATTGATTTTGCTTGGAAAAGCAGCCTTACCCAAATCTGGCTCTGAATGCAAGGATTATTCTTATTAAATCCCTAAAAGAAGGAGAAAAGAAGCTTGTTCTTTTCAGCACCAATGCTGGTGCTGAGGACTGGTTGTGGCGGGCCAAACGCCAGCCCAGGAGCTTTGCTTTCTGCACTGATTCTTTGCCAAAGCTTTGTGAGCTGTGGATACTCATCTATATGAGCCCTCATTTTGTCACACCAACTTGGGGAGCAGCTTCTCCAAAGAGCTGGGATAGGCTTTGGGTTGTGCTCTGTGTCTGCTTGTGGGCTCTTTATTTCTTACTCAGGACCCATATTAAGGAGCTGCTTTTCCCTTGAGGAGGATGAGCTTCCAAAACAATGGCTCCAAATGCTCCGAGTTTTGTATTTTAGCAATTTTAGCAGAGGATGAGATTTAGCACTAGATGATGCTAAATGCTGGCTTTTAAAATCCATGATATTTTTTATCTGTAGTAATGCTTCCTTCTCGCAGCCAAAAGGGCAGCATGTCTGGGTTGCTGCCAATCTCCCTGTTGTCTGGGAGCCCTGTAATCTTGATAGCATTGCCTTTGTAGGTACCTGCCTTCCTGCTTGGCTCCTGTTTTCTGCTAATTCCTCCTGTTATGATCTATCCTCATCTAACAACCCCTAAGCAAAACCTGTCCTGTCTCCCTGAGCTGGCCACTCTTGTGCTCACTCCCTACCCCATCATTTCTTGCCCAGAGCCCCTTGGACACTGAGTCTCTTGCATGGACTCATGTCACCATTTATCTCCCATCTCTTGGTGCTGGAGGGTGGGAGCCAGAAGGCAACTCTGGTTTCAGCTCCCAGGGTGGAGAGAAAGCTTGGAGAGGTGAAGGCAAGGGCATCACTCAGCCGTAAGCCTAAGTTACGCAGAGGCAGGGGTAATATCTTCTGTTCTGATCCCTTGGCTTGACTAAATCCTCTTGCCTCTGAGGAAGGCTGGTGAAGGCAAACCCTGGGAGTTTTCTCTCCAGGTAGGCTCTCCCTGGTTGCACAGGAAGCCTGGCACCTTCAGAGAGCTTCTTCCACCTCACAGATCTGAAGGATGATTCTACAAACGTGGTAGCATTTGCCAACCCTTCTGCTGCAGGTATTGTGATGGGAGGTGGGGGACTACATCCCGCATCCCTGCGATGCACCTTCCCACCGCCCCGTGCCTGCTCTTCTCCCTGGCACCGCTGGAGAGTTGAGACTCTTCCTCTCCCCCTCAATTATTTTTATTTTATTTTTTTTCGGGGTGCCAATAAAGGCAGACTCCTTTAATCATCCCAGCTTTAAGAGGGAAACAGGAGAGCGCCAGGGAGAGAGTGCAGTGAATTTAGAGACTCATCTTACCCCACCATGTTAATTATCTCTGCTGTAAAAAAGAGGTCAAGGAGAGGAACTCTACTAAATAGGCCGACGTTGGCATGAACAGCTCCTAAAGTGAAGAAGGTAAGACTGAACTTTACTGGAACTTTTTTTTTTCCATCTCTTCAAAAAGCTCCTAGATTAAAGCTCTTATATCCTTTTTGTTGAAATCTCATGGATTCTGAAGCTCAAATGGCTGGAAGGAAGCCCAGATAATTTTTTTTTATCCCAGTCACTGAGAGGCTCAAAGGTTTTAAGTCCTGCCCCCATGGTGAATTGCCGAGTATATGGGAATACAGAAGAACCCGGCACATAGGTGTTCTGGCCATTGTTATCGAGAGGGAGAAAAATAAAATAGCTCTCTATGTAGGTCAATGACCTGCTCTTTATTGTCAGTAAAAAATTAAGGATGACCTAAAATCTACTACTCAATAAAAAAAATAAAATTAAAAAAAAAAGGCGAGGGAAAGTAGTCTCCCCCTAATCAAAGAGGAAATGTTTGTGTTACCTAAAGCTTGACCTCCTCAGTCTCTAACTTTAGCAAAGTCTTTGCGATTGAAAAGCAGTGGTCGAAACCTCAAAACCTGTCTGAAATGTCTATTAATTTTTGATCTTTCAAGGGAGTTGGCTTAGTTATTGTAGAAGCCCCCGTAGCGCTGGGTAGCGTAGTTAAGGGTCTCTCAGCATTTCCATTATAAAGCCCCAATATTCAAGGGCTTATAACTCAGTTGTTTCCACGTTGCGTCTGTCTGATCCCCATGTCGCCATTTGCTGGCTTACCTGCCATCCCCCTCCATCCTTCTGGGGGAAATAACATGTGTATTGGTGACAACGGCTCATTTTTAATATGTGTATATATATAGTTTTTTCCAAGACGGGAAGCACCTGGCCAGAAATGGGATTCCTGGACATCTGTGGGCCATGGGGTCCTTTCCATGCACCAGGCTGGTTTCTCTGGCCCGTCTCTATGGGGCGAAGCCTGAAACACCCCTGTTGGGCTCTTAGGATGGCTTGGGGTTTAAAAACTGAAGGCTTTAAGGTCAAAAAGGAGCTCTGGTGAAGTAGAAAAACCCAGCTCCTTACTTATGATGAGGGCTGCTTGTAACATCCTCCCTTACCCATCCCACTCATTCTAACACTCACCACATCAATGATGCCTTTGATTAATCCCTGGATTTTTGGCTGAACCAAAATTGGATTTTTGGCCATCTTGCAGAGACATTTATAAGCTGGGCTTGAGATATTTGCATCTGCAAACCTTTTCCTCTCTGTCTGCTTGTTTTTTGTTTGTTTTTTTTTCCTGCAAAGCTCTGTTGCTGACACCTGGCCTTATGATACACTGCATCCATAGCAGGAACCTTGCCTTCACCACCTACTTCCAGTTAAGCTTTTTGCCTGCCTGAAGGGGAGAGGTTTGAAGCCAGGGTGGCTTTTTCCTGAAGCTGGCATGCAATGAATATTGCTATGGCCCGAAGCAGTTTCATCAGGATATCAAGTGGCTGAACTCTTCATCAAAAAAAGATTAAAAAAATCCTAATTCCCTGAGTCTAATGATTCAGATGCTTAAAGTCCTAAGAAAACATACACGTGCACTCGAGAAGCTTATTTTTTCAAGAGAATGTTTATGCCCATCTCTGTGTGATGCTGAGCTCACCCATGGTGAGAAGGGAGCGGGTGCACCTGGCTAAGCCTTAGCCCCGACTATAAAACAAAGCGGACCTGCACGTACATTGTGTGGGGTGAGGAATTGGGGAAGTTGCTCCCATCCACAGACCCCATCCCTTCATCTTGTCCTTGGGGCTGAAATTTTAGGAGGAGTGGATGTCCTGATGGGTACTGACATCTCTTACAGAGGGTTCGGCATGGGCTGAGGGGCACTGGAGGTTGGGGTGACTTATGTGCCCCATGACCCGACCCATTCTGAGCATCTCCTGGGGGAAAGTGTGTTGGACCTGGGATCTGGGACATAGTGATTGTAGGATAGATAAGTCATCAGAAAAGAGGAGGAAGGAAAAGCTTGTGGAGGTGGGCTGGACTGCTCCTGTCACTGGGCAAGAGGCCTGCGCCATGCAATGTGCCTAGCGCCAGAATGTCCCTTTTTGGCCGTGCTGAATGTGCTGCAGCAGCTGGGAGATGTGGGAGCACGTAGGAAGCCTTGCTGGGAACCGTGGCATCACTTTGTACCCCACAGAGGCAAAAGCACTGGAGTCTGCATGCAGGGGACGCAGAGTGAGGTTATCAGCAGGGGGATGCTGATAGGGGGACACTCTCCTTACCCCAGGGAGTCTTGGGTGGTGCAGAGGTGCAGCGGGGCCAGGCCCTTGTCGCTCCGCAAGTTGGGATCAGCCCTGTGCTCCAGCAGCAGCTCGACGCAGTCGACGTGTCCCCCTAGGCAGGCTTCATGCAGGGGCCCATGCCCTCCCGGCGCCAGGTTGGGGTCAGCCCGTCGGCGGAGGAGATGGCGCAGGCAGGCGGTGTGGCCTTGGCGGGCTGCGAGGCACAGCGGGGTGGTCAACTCCTGCTTGTACTCCAGCGACCACAGCCCTGTGGGAACGAAGGAGCAGGGCTGGTACCCAGGGGCTGACCCGCTGGGGACCCATAGGGTTTGCACCCTTCCCATCTCCTGTGCACTAGCCTTGTGAATAAACTGTCAACATTCTGGTTTTCACATTTTTCTATTGTTTCTCTGGCACCTTTAGGAGTTTTGAAGAGCCTAGTTATGGCTGGTGACTGCTCCAAGCACTGTTGGCAAGAGGGGAAGCAAAACTTCCCCAGTGTGCTCACATCCAGGAGTAAGATTTCATACGGCACAAGCTGGGTAAACCGATACCCTGTCCGCAACTCAGCTGCACATGGGACCCTGGGTGCAAGATCTTGCTGGCAGGAGCTAAAAGGCAGCTCACAAATTCCCCACCTGCACCCAGGGGAGGAAAAAACCTGTCTTTTTTGAGATGGGGATAGGCTTGAACGCACCCAAGCTGGGTGGGCACACGTTGGGAGGGTGATGCAGGGCTGGGCATGGGATGCAGTGAGTTGGGCTCAGCTGGAGCAAAGCATTGCATTTCCAGGCTGCTCCAGGACCTCTGGAACCATCAGTAGAACCACAGTGCCTGGTAAGCATCTGGGACCATGGGGAGCATCTGGGGTTGGGAGGCACCAGGTACCACTACCCTGGGAGCATCTTATTCCTCACAGCTAGGACCAGGCCACTCTTTCTAAGCCCCTCCATGAGAAATTTGAGCTGCAAGACCTCTTGCAATTGTGCCTAAGCAAAAGAGCACCCCATAGCAACCTGAAAAAAATTACATGGACACACACTTTTTGCACTTCCCTACCCCTCTGGTGGATTAGTATGTGCAGAAGAGAAGAAAATAATAAAAGAAAGTGCTGAATATTTATAGCTAGGGCTGCAGGGCACAGTCCGCTAACCAGGAACCAGCCACCTCGGGAACAGGCTCTATAAAAGCAGCATTAGGCACTTAAATGCACTGCACCTCTCTTATTTATGGTTAGTAAATACCTGTTTGGGTTTTTAAAGTTTTTTTCTGGACTGGCCTTTAAAGCAAAAGTACCTGAGAGTCCATAAGATGCTTGGCTTTTCACCTGCCACTCCAGCTCATTTTTACTGATTTCAAAAACCAGGTTGACATCTTGGTAGTATCGGTCAGTCAGGACCTCGAGGCTTCTCAGGTCTCCCATGAGCAGGGCCATGTAATACCTGCTGGGGGGAGCGTGAGCCGTGACAGGATGCTCCGAATCCAATTTGAGGGAAATCTGTAGCTTTTCTGTTACAGGTCCTGGTAACTCGCCCGTTCCAGTGCTTCCCATGTGTGTGTAGGTCCTAACTGGGAGGATAGAGGGGCTTTGGTAGTTCATTGTTTCCATCCTCCTGGGCTCATTGTCTGGTTATAATCCAGTTGAGGCTCTATTGTTGTTGTATTTATAACTCCAGCAGAGTCAGATGGTAACAGGCACACGATACGACGAGGGTGAAACAGTTACAGGGCTGTGTTGTGGCAGCACATCTTGGATTAAATTGCCAGTTCAATTGCAGGCAGCAGCTTGGGAGATGGGTGTTGAGGCTGCAAGGAAAACGGTGCCAAGCATTTATGGAGGTAAGAAAAATAAAAAGAAATTCAGTCAGCTCCTGTCTGCCCACCCCCATATAACCTTATGTGTGTGCTCTGAGAAAGTGGTTTGGTTTTTTTTCTGCCTCACACTATTTTTGTTTTCTTTAAGGCACACTTACCTGTTGCCAGTTTCGTTGTTGCTATAAAGAAAATTTGTGTGTCGTGTCAGTGGCCGACACAATGCAGTCTGGCACACTGGCACGTCCCTGCAGAGATGCAAAGCACTTGGCAAATCCCCCGTGAGGTACAAATCCTCCCGGGGCTTTGGCAAGGGGAGCTACTCTCCCTGCTGATGCCTTGTACAGGAGAGAAAAAGCGCCCAGCCTCTGCTGCCATTTAAGTGCAGGGACGGACGCCAGCAGCTCCTGCTGCCCCAAAGCTCATGGCTCCTTTCCTCAAGGTCACAGGAGAAGTCCGTGACAGGGACAAGAATAGACCTCAGCATCTCGTGACTCGGCGTGACACAACCCCCTGCCAGCCCTTCCACCCCACCTCCCCGGGGAATAAACATGATCAAAGAGGATCTCAGGAAAACGCTAAACTATATCAGGGCAACCGGATGTGGAGGAAACTGCCAAAATGCTTCATGATTCCCTCCATGTGGAGTCAACCTGGGGCTGGAAGAAATGTTTGGGACCTTCTCCGTAGCTCTCTGCAATTGGGCTCCTGCAGGTGACGGTGAGCATCCTTGTGCCACCCTCAGGCCAATGCATCCATGCTGTAAGAGTCATCCGAGGTTTCTTTTTGTACTTCCTCAGCATGGCTGCAGTGACATCAAGCCCTCTAGTCTCAGAGACCATGGGAAGACCATGAAGTCACAAAAGTATCACAGTGCGTCCATCCAGGATGGGGTTGTGCTGAGCTGGGGGGTACTTGTGTAAATTAATCCCTTGTGTAAAGAAACCCCTGCCTTGAGGTCCCTGTTCACCTGCGGTGGGACCTAATTTGAGGTCAACCTACATGGTCTTTCCTGTTTTCTTTCTCCCCTTGAACTCAAGACTGGTCCTCTCACCTTGCTGTTCACAATCTCTCAGTTGGTTTGTAACGCCCAAGTCCCCTCATCTTTCTCTCTTCTCTTACCACTTGTTGCCACTCTGCTAACTCCAGCCTTTCTGTGCTCATTCATCCTCCTGATATTAATTGAACCATCTCCTCAAAGCATTGCTCTGCTATGAAAAATAGTCCTGTTGTCTCCTGGGGTCCCTTGGCCAGTACAGAAGAAGGTTTGTAGACCTGGGCAGTGGCACAGATCAGGATTGTTTTCCCCAGGGACTGGTCTGGGGTTGTGTTTCTGCAGGGCTGGCTCGCTTTCCCTCTCCACTCATCAGCAATCTGGTAATATTTTTGCGGTGGTGTGGAGGAAGCCTGCCTTCACGTGCCCTCGCTCATACGGAGGGGATCGCCTTCCTGTGGCACAGATCACCTCCTGTGCTGGCAGATGGGTATATTTAGCAGGGAGTCTAGACCTTCTCGGTCAGACATGGGCTAATTTTGTTAGGGGAGAGTGTCAGAGAGAGAGAGAGTGTGTGTGTGTGGTGGTAAACTGCCATTGAGACTGTGTTGAAATACCCTGTGACCCCTTCTTGTGAGCCCTTTAATCAGCATCTATTTGCATATAACACTCGCTTCTTGGGTCACAGTAATGACAGGATTAACAGTATCACTGATGGAGGTGGGGGGGGCATGGATTAAAAACAGCCAGGGCCATCAAGAGTAGACAGAAAAAGTCCTTTTGTAGCTGAGTGGTGCACATAAGTGTATGAGCCTCAGCTCCTGCCAGCCAAGTCAAGTGCTTTAGCCATCGATCAGTGGAAAGTGATGTCAGGGTGAAACGATATTCCTGTGTGTCTAAGGGGAATGCTGCCAAACAGGCAGCAGTGATTGCAGAAAGGATCTGGCAGCCAGGACACCTGTGGAGCATCCTAGGGCTGGCCAGGAGGAGGGGAGAAGTCCCTGGTTGGGTTTTGAAGGAAAATAAGGGGTTTTCAACTGCTTATAAACTACTTGTCATCTTTGGGCAGCAATTCTGGGTGGTGGAGGAAGGCTGGGACACCACAGCCCTACTCCTCGGTCACTGCAATGCTGCACAGCCCTGGGCACATCACCTCTCCTTCCGGCATCCCGGTCCCCACATATCAAGACCTGCGAGGGTCTGATCCTGCAGCCAACTAAGCCTGGGATCATCCTTATTTCTCCTCACTTCAGTAGAGATGCTCCTTCACAGACTCAAGCCCCAAATGTTGGCAAGGATGAGCACTTTACTAGCAGTAGCCTCACACTCATTAACCTCTAATGCAGGGGTAGCATCTTAACTTTCTCCCTGCATACGACTGTTTGCAGAGTACACCTCATTTAACAAAACATTAAGCATTTTACTTCCTCAGATCAAGAGTATCTATTAATAATGACTTAAATTGTCTGCGCCGGCTTCACATTACGAGGAAAACTCATTCCTGGCACATGAAAGCGCACGACGTGCACGAGTAAAATGACTTCAGCGTGAGCTTGTTCCCCAAGTTAAGCTGCCGCATAACAACTTAGTCCTCACACTGGGGAAATTTCAGCCCATGATAACTTGCCCTGCTGGCTCAAAAAACCATGAGGCTGCCTTAAAAAAATCCAGCAAGTCCAGATGTGCCCATGCTGAGAGCTCCTGTCGCTGCTGCCGTGATTTACAGCTGCCCTCCAGCAATGGGAAATGGCTTTTTTTTTTCCAGGGCAATTTCCAGTGCAGTGAAGGAGCCTGAGGGCTGGCAGCCCATGGCACTTCTTCCTCCAGCTGCTCTCACTGCAATGCATGACTGATTTAAAGCTTGCACCCTCCTAGCCCCCCAAAAGAATTAAAATGAGCTGACTGAGTGGCAGAACTGCCTGTGATGGCTGTGGATGCCCCCTGGCACCCTGTGGCCATGGGAAGGGGATGCTGTGCCCGCAGCCAGGGGACTGAGAGGTGGGCAGCTGGGATGGTGAGGCTATCATGCCCTGAGATGACAAACCATCGTCTGCCCAAGCCTACCTTGGAAGGATGGTGCAGTCAGAGCTTCTCTCCCGGGTGATGCTTGCTTGTCCCCCCGGGGCACGGGCCGGGAGGGTTAATGTTCTCTGTTGGAGCCAGGTGCCACCTTGCAAACAGCCAACCTGTCACCGAAATGTCCCCAGGTTTATATTTCCAGCGCTTCCCCCTCCCTGCTCCATGTGACAGCACTGCCCAGTTATGTGGCTGGCGGCTGAGGGAGGGGGTCAGACTGCAGGATCAACACCCATGGAGATACCCACGCTGGATGCACGTCTCTGTGTAGGAGTGGGTGTCATGTCCCCCCCTCAAAAAAACAAACTTTTGCAGATGCAATTGCCTGAGCAGAGCCAGCTGAGCTGCTGCTGCTGGACCAGCTCTCCTGTAAAAACTGCTGCCTGGTGAAATACAAACTCATCCCAAGGCTGCATTGATTTTGTCTGGTTTTTATTGGAAATTAGATAATATTTAAATAATGCTGAAACATTTCCCTTTAACAGCTCTATATAATATGGAAAGGTATTCTGTGCTATGCTGGTTTATAGTGGCCCTTCTTTGACAAATGTAAATAGTTTGATTCAAAAATACCCTTTCCAGTTCTCATAACTGTGCAGTGCTTTCCTCCCCAGCCCCTTCTATCAGTTATAGGAATAAAAAAACCTATAGCTCTTAGCTTAACTAAAAATACTTAGCTTCCCTTTCCCCCTCTCCCCACTGAAGAATCGCAGCTGTGTTAATTATTCCCTAGGAATTCAATACTGGTGTGCATCCTCTTTTAAAGGCTAAGGGGAGCGCTACCAATTATTTAACCCCTCAGTAATGCGCTCATGAAATATCACCCTGAGTGCCAGCCTGGAGAACCATCTCAGACTGACCCTCTGTCACGCAGCCCCTTATACTACAAGGCTGGGTGATGATGGCATTTGCTAATTAGCAGCTTGCCCCTTGTCTGTGGCAGCAAGGACACCCGATTATTTTTAGCAATCGCTCTTGAGGTTGCTGGTGCTTGGGCTGTAAAGGCTGTGGGTTTGGTTTTCTCCCCCTTAACCCTAAATATTAATGCTCCTGTGGCAAAGGAAAGCACTGGACTGCTGTGCCTGTGCTGCTTTGGGCTGCAGAAGGCTTTTGGTGAGTGGCATAAGTGGATGCAGACAAGAAGTTTTCAGCTCAGTTTGCCTTTGGGAGATGTGGGGGGCTTGAGCTTCTCCCTGCATTTTTCCCCCTCTTTCTCTTGCTATCCCTTTCTGTTATAAGGCATATGGCTGAAGGTGTACAGCAAGGCCAGCTTAATTTCTAGGTAGCGATGCTCAGAGGGTTGAGCTTGCTTTTAAGGGTAGCCCAAACCCATCCAGGAGGGTTTAACTCCATGTGAGCAGTACAAGGGCTGGTCCCTCCCCATGCAAAAGCCACGGTTCTAATTTTGCAACCCAATACCTCTTTTTTTCTGCCTACCTCAAACTTCAATGCCCCAAGTTGGCCAGCAGCAATCTAAGCACCTGCCTGCGTAGAGTGGCGATAAAAGCCACCGGCCCTGCTCTGATTACGCTGAGAAGGACCTGGGAGTGGAGAAGCAGCCAGTGATGAAGGAGATGCTGAAAAGAAACCTGTACAACAAACTCTTTTCTGAAAAGTGAGGACAGTTTTCTCTTGTGAAGGTTGTATGCAATGGGGAAGGGCAGGAGAGC